TTGACTTTGTTGCGATGATGCAAGATTGTCAGGGCTTTATGTTGACGCTATTATCTACCTACGGCGCCTGTTTCACACTTGAATATGTTGACATGGTTGTGGTCACACCGATTCCAACATTGATGGGAGTAGGCGAGAAGGAGGATGAATCAAGATTGTGAGATTGGTTCGATAGTGGAAGGAAAGCCTACCTGTTTGATAGTGTCGACATTGTGCTTTACTGTCTGTCTCCGGAGGAAAGATTTGCGTCATCCTCTGTGACCGCTGCTGACGTGGTTGAAGGATGGGCGCCCTGTTGTAACCTGCTTATTGTCAGAGACCGCCAGGGGAAAAATGTTGTTGACGTGGCGAGTTGGGAGGCAACACCCGAAGAGGAAGTGGGCAGCGAGTGTTGTTTGTTGAACGATGATGGTGGAAACTCTCTCCCTCATCCTCTAAGTTTCATCTCCCTCTCTCCTCTTCTTCTTCTTTGTGCATTAAATAGTGGAACACGGATGCCACGTGAACAATTAGTATGGTTTTCACGAACGATTTCAGATACATCGATTCTGCGCTAAGATATCTTGTATTTCGGCATTGACGAGCTTCTCATTTTACTGGTTCATTGCAGTTTAGTATCGGATCGTAATCCTTCATTCCTCGCTATCTGCTAATACACTTTACATCACGCGGTTGTATCGGAATTGTGCATTTGATTGTGCACTCGTTGCACACTTGTTGTCACACGTTTTTTTCGTGAGGTGTGGTCGAATGCTATCGCATGCCTGCTTGGTCTGTGCGATGGGTTGGTACCGCACGCATGTACGATGATGATGATGATGATAATGGTATAGGTGATGACGTGGCGTTGGGTGACTGGCGCTAAAGAGAATTGCTGACGTGGCTTCGTGGAACGACGAGCACCGCCTACGTGGGATGGTGCGAATGTGATGACATGGCACCTACCAAAGAATGAGTGGGGTACATTGTATGACGTGGCATCTCGTGGAGTGTCGTGACTTACCTTGCTGACATGGCATTTCCAAAGCAACAGGTTGACGCGACATACTCCAGTCGACATCCCAATGAGTATATGCAGGTTGGGTCGAATCTTGTTGCTCATGTGGTCTCGATGCATCTCCATTACTGACATCCTATTCGGCCATTGTAGCTGACATGATACCTCTCTTGTTGGCATGTCACTGTCGCCTTGTTGGAGTGCGACACGTGACACATATAACGTGGCATGCTGCCAAACCGAAGGAAGATTGGTGGGAATAAAACCTTGCACGTGTGCGACCTGGACGACGGTACAACACCACGCTAAGTTGTAGTGCCACATGCCATGGCAAGTGTCTGGTCGCAAAACCATCAGAAAAAAAGACAAAGAGAAGATTAACTGACACTTGTTGTGGATGTGTGTTGGTTGACTGATTGGACTCACCTGTCGTGGGTTGTCTTGCGGATGGTTGCAAACTCACCATTGTCATGTTGTCTTGATCTCACTTGTCGTCGATGCGAAAACCTGAACAATTTATAGAAAACATAATTAGAAAGATAATTAGTTGAAATAAACATATGAAAATTTGAGATTTTGTTTGTATAACTAATTTATTTTATTTTTTATTTATTGTCGTAGGATTGAAATTCATTTGTAGTAAGGCCGTGTAATTTACCGATCGTCGTTTAAAGTTTATTGTGCGACATTTTCACTTTGAAAGATGACTTACCTCTGAAATTGCTTGTGCGCATCCATTAACTCGTTTCATCCCTTTGTCTCTTTTTCCTATCCCGATCACCTTCTTCCTTGGTCAAGAAGAAGGGGTGGTACGAACTCATGACCAAGTAAAAGAAACACGACAACAAATGTTGGGCCATCTTCGCCAGGTGCTCACTGAATTGCACAACGCTGGGCCAGACGTTGAACAACACGTACGCAACCTGTTCGATCTACAAGCTGCAGGAGAGAAAATCTCACGAGTTGAAATTGTTATTCAAATGTTGGAGACCAACGCCAGAGTGCAATACGAGCATTGATCGAGGACAAATAAGCCTCGATTATTTCGTTGTTGAGCAGTTTGCGAAGATAGTTAGGGAAGAGGTTAAAGAAGAATGGAGAGCCGAGTGAAAAATGGGAAGAACCGGAACTGACATAAGAAATCATGGATGAAACAATCAAATAGTTGCAAGTTGCACTAGAGGCATAACTAAAAGGAAAGAAGACTATCTGAGGCAACGAAGAGAACAAGAATAGTAGACAAGACAAGTATAATAAATAAGAAAGATATTTAATGTCGTGGATTCAGAAACTGATATGGCATATGTATTGCAGAACATGATGACTTACCTTGCACACTTAAAGATTAAACTTGACAATGTCGCGACAAAACTGCAGATGGTGACTAGAGTAGTGAAGGAAAAAAACAAAGTTGTGGAAGAAGAAAAGGTAGAAGAGAAAGAAGAAAGATCCTTAGGATAAATTTATGAAAGATGCCATAAAATCCCGTCACCCAAACAAACCCGAACCTTCCAAGAAGGAAACCCCAAAAAAGGAAGAAGGGGAAACACCAAAGAGAAAGGAGAAGGTAAAATGAAAATGCCATTCACTTACAACGAGAAGAAAGATGAACATATGTTATTGTGGATTGTCGAATTTCAAACTTACTGTGGGACCACACCAATGATGGAGGACTATCACCCTGCGATAATTCCTCATGAAGATAAAGGAGAGATTCCTTAACAAAACGACCCCCGACAATAAATTTGATGAGCTCACCACCATTAGTCAGAAATGTTGGTCCGGTGTCGAAAATTTGTCATGTGAAGTGGACCATCTGTTGTACTAGGTACCTGGACCGAACCTTTCATATTACTAGGTTCTCTAGATTTAGTCACGTGTCTTTCCAGAACCTATAGAGAGAGAGAGAGAGAGAGAGAGAGAGAGAGAGAGAGAGAGAGAGAGAGAGAGAGAGAGAGAGAGAGAGAGAGAGAGAGAGAGAGNTTTTTGAAATAGACTCAAAGTAGAATATTCTGCGTTTTCGTTTTTTTGTTTTTGCTTTTTCTTTGTTGTTTCTGTTTTTATAAATGCAGACTCTTCCACTACCGGTAGCTCTAGGCTCGGCCAGGCTCAGCATACTGGTAGCAGGAGGCTCGGACTTGATAGCTGGGCCAACTACTGGTGGTTTGAAATATTTTGTTTGGAGGAATTTTAACACTAATTTGATTGTCCAAAGTTACTTACTGTCATAACAAGGATCTTGTTCCACTCTCCTTGTGGTTCCATGGTTTGCACTCTACAACATTTTTGAGGGTGGATGTGAAAACATATGCAGCAGTCATCCTAGAGTTTGTATGAGTCGCCATCCATTTCTTCCAGATTCTCTAGGATCGTTACAAAGATCCTACAAACTGTAGGACAACTACATATGTGAAGGGCATAGTTGCTTTGAAGGAATCCGATTGGTTGAAAGGTAAAACACAACCCTTTTTTTTCTTCTTCTGTTTTTCGAAATGCAAGTAAATAACTTGAAACTGTAAGACTCATCCTACAAAATCATTTGTAGTAGGGAACCATGAACAAGAAATGCCGTTAGAGAAATCTAATTCCAAAAATTTCGTAGGAATCTCTAGGGAATTCCTGCAGTCTTTAGGATAGTGGAACCAGATCCTAATTCCTTCTCCCTTGGAAAAAGACGCATTCCAATTTTTGAATCTTGGTTTTATTCATTTGTGAGGCTATTTCAACCCTCCTTTTTTTTTTTTTTTTTTTTTTTTTGTGGGGTCTGCGCAACACTTTGTCCGCTTACGGACAAAGGTGATTGTGGCATGGACCCCACCACCCATGGTAATGGGCATGCAGGAAAAAGGAAGGAAAAAATTAACGGGCATGCTGATTCTACCAGAATTTTCGCCTGCCTCGACCAGAATTTTCACCTACCGTATCTCAATCTCAACGGCATCGTGGCCATTGCAGAGGGGGCGGAGGGGCCTCCCTTCGGAAAATGGCGTGTTAGAGTACTTGATTCCAAATGGAAGTTCGAATTTTGAGGGGAAAAAGGAAGCCCTGTTAGCCATCCGAGTAACTGTTTTCGTGGGCTGCAGGCCTTGCAAGCAGGCCTGCAGCTTGTGACCCGGATCCAGCGTCCCCTGGCACATTGTACGGTACGGAATCTGGCCTGGCAAACATCCTGCAATACAACAGCCTGGGTTGCTCGTGGGCTAACTAAGGGCGAGATCCCACTGGCAAGGAGGATTGGAATAAGCCTCTGAATCTGGACGTGTTTGTGCAGGGGTGCAAAAAATTGTGATAGATCTGCTTTTCTGCATCTCTGTGTGGAACAACGTCCATATTCAGCCACTTATTTCAATCCAGTTGGCCGGTGGGATGTGGCCCTAATTGCACCATCACATCGCATCATTTGCCCGGCAGGACCTACATACCCGAGGGCCTGGCTGCACCAAACGCACACAATGAGAACGAATCATCTATACACCGGCATATATTTCTTTTTCTTGTCTTGTGTGCATGTCTCGAGTGGTGGAGCGGCCCATAGGCTCTGGGAGAAGAGAGAAGGCCGAAGCGGAAAAAAGACCCCTAAAAAAAACAAAAACAAAAAAAAAAAACCTCCACCATGGACAATCTAAGCGGGTCAGGGGCGTGGTCCCACTAGCAAAGAGGATCGGATCGCATGCCTGAATCTGGACGAGTTTGTGGAGATGTGCAGGAAATCGAGATTGAACTGCTTTTCTGCATCTCTGCTTAAAACACATCCAGATTCAGGAGCTCGATCCTATCCTTTTTGCTACTAGTGGGACCTCGGGCCAGGGCATACTGACGCCCTCATACTTTGGGCCTCGCTGCACTACCCTCCACATGCGCAAAAGACAAAAAATATGGCGGTGCATCTACCCATGTTCTAGCGGAAGATTCAGTCTCATTTTGAGTATTTGGAGAGTAGTGCAGCGAGGCCCTTTGTGGCGGGTATCGGAACGTATCCTGGCGGGCGTCAGAGAAAGGAGGGTGGGTGACTGTAGGCATCCCAATCCCAAGAGAGGGGGAAAAGGTGGATTTTTAGGCTGCAAAAGCGAGGCAGGCTTTGGAGATAGGCGTGGTGTATTTTGTATTTTCGCATATTCATTCATGCTTCATTCATGCTTCATCGCACGATCACGCGTCGAGTGACAGTGATTGATGCCAACTGCAACCTGTCAAGGAGGGTGGTGAGTCATCCATCCCCCCTTCTTTCTCGTGCAACAACCAATTAGACATTTCTATTCTATCTATCTATCTATTTCCTCAGGACCCTCTTCTGCACCCTGTTGTCTCCCCTCCCGGCCTCCTCTTCCTCTGTCCTTTCTCGTCGTGCCTTCACCTACTTCCTGCACTCCCTTTGTCTACCCGTCTTCCTCCTCCGCTTCTTTCTCTTCCTGTTTTCCACCCCCCCTTGTACGCCTTCTGCCCTTGCTCCTAGCCCTTCGCTGGTTTGCTCTCATCTGCATACACCGATGTCTCTCTCTCTCTCTCTCTCTCTCTCTCTCTCTCTCTCTCTCACACACACACACACACACACACACACACACACACACACAGAGGGGGGGGGGGGGGGGGGGGGGAAGGAGTGATCGAGAGAGAGGTAGGTGGGACTCCACCAGTCAGTCAGCGTCCACAGGACATGAAAAATGGCCGAAATCTGATAACGATTTACACTTGAGTATTGATAATCTGAGGGCACACTCAGTCACGCTATTCAGCCTCGGAGTTATATGGTTTCCTCATAGTTGCTGTCAAATGCATCCAAAGGTGGGCGTAATTGCGACCAGATGCATCCAGATGCTCCCTAGTGTGGGGAGAATGTGCGGTGATAGAAGATTTCCTTTGCCTGCTCCTCTTATGGTAGCTGATTCAGGGCAAACTCACACTGGTAGCACTTCCTTGACGGAATCTAGTCGTGATGGCGGTAATATACATACTTGTGAAAGAGTCGTAGTGTGAGTATGCCCGTAACGTTGTCCTACAGACTCTGCTTTCCTCCTCCTCCTCCTCCGCCGCCTCTTCCTGCTCCTCCTGCTCCTCTTCCTCCTCTTCCTCATCCTCGCCCTCCTCCTCCTCCTCCTCGTCCTCTCTCCTTCTCCTCTTCCTGCTCCTCCTCCTCTTCATTTCTCCTCCTCCTCCTCCTCCTCTCTCCTCCTCCTCCTCCTGGTCCTCCTCTGCCAAACCCCAGACGTTGTCTCTCTTCTCTTCTGTTCGTTCTTGAAGGTGACTTCTGCCCTCTTGTGTGTGTGACATCAATGGCCATAATACTAATAACTATACTTACCGTAATATTTAAGTAGTCGTCAATAGTTAATTAATTAATGAAATTGTGGGACCGGGTGTTGGCGGTACCGAGGGTACGTCTGGGTTGGCCTGGCTTGACCTTTTTTTCCATTTTTTTTGCCTCGAGTCCCTTGATAATACTGTAATTCATGTCTAACTGAATGAATAGTATTTAAACTTGTTTGATGTGTTCCCCTTCATTGGTGCTAAATACTATGTGCGACTCGGCTTATCTACCTGTCTGTAATCATCATTCTCGTCATTTAATTCTCTATCCATTTCTGTATAATAAAAACAAATCAGATATACTGAAGTCTGATGGGATCCCACCGCCCCCCGGCCCCCCCCTCCTCCCCCTCCCCCCCCCCTGATCGGACAGTCTCTCCAGCCAGCCGCCAGGGTTTTGGAAAGTCAGACAGTGCCACGTCAGCGGGGCCATATTAGCAGCCACGTCAGCTTCCATGTCAGCGATCGAACCATCGAATCACTCCTCCTTTGGGACAATCGGACGCTCCAACGGTGCACACATGCACCCACGCACTCACTCACCCAACATACACAC